TATGACCCGTGTCATGGTTATTACTTATTTATTATATACGCCTCTTATATCTTATTTATAGCGTTTTCCGATGTTAATATAGTCGAATTTGTCTTCCGCCTTCCAATGTTCCAATATACATTGTTTACACTAAGATTTTCGTCTTTCTAGGCCGTTGTGTCATTTTAAGTCAATATTTGCAGTCCACTTAATATTATTATTAATCTAATCTGTCTATTCATTGTTGTTTGTTCGTTCGTTATTTTGTATTACTATTATTCATCAGGTTTCATATAGGTACATATAGGAATAATACATATTATATTTGACGACAAGCAAACGTGAACTATAWTAATACTACCTATTATGCTGYCTGAAAAATCAATATTACAATAATATCGTTTTCAAACATATTTCAATTTCACAAATATTAATTTTCTCGACGAACATTTTATATTCTATACACATTGTATTGTAGACATTTGTTTAGTGTCATACTTGCTTGATCCGCTGAAGTAATCATTTAAACCAWTGTATACATATATATTTAGTTAWAGTTTTTTTCCTCAACTGGAATATTAAAAAAATCGAGCGAATTCACTAACACGATACAAATATTTTATTGCTCTAACAGATGTGTTTACCTATGTCATTAAATTAATACGATTCATTGAAACGCAACCGAGGCAAAAGATAAAATATTAATAATAGTTGAGTGAAAATTACGAAGGTATGCCCTATAATAGSTACTTAATAAAACMGTTTAAAAATTCTCTATACGAGTTCATGTCAACATAATAATATAATCACTGCAGTGAATAAATCGACAAAATATATAATAGRCATTTACTAATCAGTAATCATGTATACGATATMGTAGCGATTCTACGATAACTCATGGATCGTTAAGTTGTTGATCTTCTGCTCGGTTAGGTTAAAATGTAATGTTTTTGAATTGTTTAAAAATATAATATGAAACTTTAAACAATTATTGTGTTTATCGTATAGGTATTAAAATTGCACGATTAGGGACGACGATTGTGAATACGGAAATAATATGTAGGTAATAATAAATAATATGTACTACCTATGGATAAAACACTCAAGCTAATGGGGGTAGGTCGCCGCGGACCCGAACTCTAGCGCTCAAAATATTGTTTCWTCACTCAAACCTTTTTATGATATATGTAAAGGTACATATTATGAGTACCTACCGGCGGGCACTTTTACGTATTTTTTACAAAGTTTATCGCGCGTACGATAATAATACATTATATTAATGCCATTGTTACACGACAATAGACGCAATACTGCAGTATGATAATATATAGGTAGTATACCTCCCGTCTGTATTTATATATATATAAAAGTATCTATATATAGTGTACATAATCGCGCATGATTACAATAATAGTAATAATAATCGCCACGGTTTTATATACAAATCGGCTATTGTTTGGCAGCGCGTTTTCTTCTTTTTTTTTTGTCGATCTCTGTCGTCTAGCCGGCTGCAACGGCATCGCAAGCAGCAGTAACCTATAAYGCCGCCGTCTGCGGTATTCCGCCTGTGCATATTATATCTCTCTCTAATTGGGCGATTTTTTTTCTTTTCCGTGCGCCGCGTTGCGGTTTGTATACACTATTATATACAATTCCTCGGCCACCGTTTTATTATTATTTTTAGCGGCGTCTAATTGCTCTCTCGGGCGACCGAGACAAATACACGTTAAAACGAACGTAAAATGTGTTAATCGGCGCGAGGCCCGACCCGGCAGCTCACACGCACGYACGCAYACACTGACATCGTATAACGATGACAAACGCACACGCGGACAAACGCGCGAGGGTCGTGCCAAGAAAGAGGAAACGAAAAAAAAAAAA